GTAACCTCTGCCGGGGTGGTTTTTCTCTAACCCAGTGCAAACATCTGTCTTCAGTGAGAAAGGGCACATCCCCTAAGGCGTCTACTTTGTGTAGGGTAAGCAGTGCTCTCCTGTTTTTCTACATGGCCTCAGCCGGGAGCGTGGACTGAGTAGCTCAGATGTAGATGTCCCTACACAGGTATCTGAAGTCAGCTGAGAGGGGTCTCGCCCATAATGGAGGAAGCAGAAGGACGGCTGTTTTCTGGGGTTGGGGATCCCCGTGGGTAATGGCATTGGCAGTAGCATTGGGGGTGATTGCCTTCCGTTGCTTCTGAATGCCATGGGAGAGAGACGGGCTGAAAGGGAGGGAAAAGGAGTAGTTCTAGTTGGGATTTATGAAACAGGAAGAAGAACAAAAGGGAGAATGAAAAGCTAAATTTAATAAAAGCAAGATAGGCATTTTTTTTCTCTATCTCAGCATCTTGATTTACTCCTTTGGGGGATACAGTAGCAACAGAGCGGTCTGCTGCAAGGGGTAAAGGAAGAAACCCATTAAAAGTCTGAAAGAGGATGTCCAGAAATAAAATTCTTTAATGTCCTGCCTCATCCATTCTGAAAAGCCATTTGCCATCTTTAAATTCATGTGCATTCTGTTGCCAGCTGGCCCTTGAACAGTGTTAGAGAGTGAGGAGCTTCTCATCCACGTGTGGGTTTGATGTCACCCCATCTGTGCACCTGTGACTTGGGTGACAAAAACAGTCCCCATGGGGACACAGGGAGTGGGCAGGGCCTGGTACAGCTCTGGGTGTTACGCATGCCAGCTGGCAGGCAACTCCACAATGCAGTAAAGGAGAGGATGGAACAGATTACTCAGAGAGGTGGTCGATGCCCCATCCCTCAAAACATTCCAGGCCAGGCTGGACGGGGCTCTGAGCAACCTGATCCAGGTGAAGATGTCCCTGCTCACTGCAGGGGGGTTGGGCTGGATGGCCACCAAAGGTCCCTTCCAACCCAAAGCATTCTCTGATTCAGTGGGACCACATGGGTGTATGTTATCTGTACCATCTGCTGTTTCCAAAGACAGTCTGGCTTTTGGGGGCAGATCATGTGCCAGGTATCCTCCAGGACAGTGCCATATCCACTGGAAAAGGCTGTGTCCGTTTGGCATCTAGCTCTCCGGCAGCACAGGAAATCAGGAGGGCACGATGCAGTTTCACTGGTGGATAGTTAAAAGAGGTGTCAGCTTGTAACTGCTAATCACCGGGTCAGTGATTTTTACCACAAAATATGGGGCCCATCATCTTGAAACCAGTCCTACCTAGGATAAGCTTTTACTCCATCCAGCATGTAAGAGCATTGAAAGAATGAGCACCCCTACAAATGCAAAACTCGAGCGGCAACATCACTTTGTAAGTGATACACGCAGTATTGTCTTTTCTGAAAGTGAATGTTTCTGTTGGTGTGTTTAACACAAAATTAAACGTACGTGGACAAGTCATTTTGCCTATGGAGCAGAGAAAACATCAGTAAAGTTTAACTTCATAAGAAGTAATTGCGATGGAATAGAGTTAAAGAGCAGTGATACTCATGTATGAGTTGTCCATATGAGCCGCTGACTCCTGCCTATGCGCACAGTGCGATGGGGAGCAGGGTGGGCGGCTTCAGCCCTTGGTGGGGAGAAGATCCTCACCAGCATCTGCTGTGGGGTGTCCACCAAACACTGCGTTATTTTATGTTGTCTGGTGGGTCAGACGGTATGGTTGTGATTTTCCCCCTTTTCAGTGATTGCCAAGTCAGGCCAGAGAGACAGACTTGTTACCTTGCTGTCTCAGCGGTCAATTCTTATTTTAGAAAAAGTCACACAGCTTCAGTGTTGTGATTCAGACCACCTACTCGTCTTGGGATTTCATATACCCCAGTGGCTTAAGGCATGTTCCCTAGTGTTCAGTATCTTCA